TGTTGCAGGTGGACTGTGACCAGGTTCACAGCCTTGTGGAACACTCTGTGTAACGGCGTTATGGAAGCAATAACTAGTTCCTATGAAAGAACCGGAGCCAGGAAGAGGGCTGGGAAGCTAAGCCGGAGTGGGGGCAACAGCTTGCTTCTCCTTCCCTTTTCTCACCCTCAGTTTGGGGAAAATGGAGCTGTTCTCTCCATTATATCCCAGGGTATCTTAATGAAATAAAAAATGGCCACACACACAAAACAAAATCTTAAGTATTCAGAGCACACCTTTTTGAAGGCTTAAAGAAAAAAAAATCCAAGAACACAATTCACTTTCATCACCTCTGGTGTTCAGAGGGGCTTTTAGAAAGTGTTATGCTGGGACATCCATTTTCTAGAAAGGTTACCATGAACTGCACTTTTTGGGGTGGGAAAGGTGAATGCTGGTGTAGGGATGGGGGTGGGGGGAATGAGGGTAGCAGGGAAATATCATAGAAGGGAATTTGTGGCTGTGGCAAAGAAGGTTCTGTAGCATAAACCTTATCCTGCCAGCCAGGGGGATTTATTCTATGAGAAGTGCATGTGAAGAATGGTTGCAATTTTATTAGATTGACAAGGTGTTAATTTCTCTGTAGGTTGTAACTTTAAAAATAAACGAAATTATTTAAGGGTTATGCTGCACTAGTATTCCTTAGAGGAAACAGTTCCTTAAAGCTAGGAAAGGGAAGTAGGCATGTGCTGGCAAAGGCTGTTAAATATAAGCAATGGAGTCTGTTATGCTAATAGTGTTAAGACTACTTTTCTTTAATGTTTTCATGGTTATGCATATTTAGAACACTGTATTTTATTTGTCCTGTTTTGTTAAAAAAATTTAGCATTTCTACAAGAAAAATACCAACCCCTTCCCATTTCAAATTGTTCTGTCACAGCTTGTATATTTAAGTCATTTGTAAATCTCTTCATACAATAGTAATTTTTTTTTGACTGATTGATACAGTATCCTAATCACAAGATTATTTTGTACTTGTCTTAATACCTTGAGTGTAATAAAAACAGCTTAAGAAGAAAATTTCCTGTGACTTCAAATAAGAAATCCCAGTGTTGCTTAAATGTCCTATTCTAGGCAACCCTCTTGCTGTAAAGGAAGAGCACGGAGTGCAGAGGTCACTGTTCTCATTTTCAATTAAGGTCCTGAATCCTAATAATTTAAGCCCCAATTGCCAAGGTTTGGATTAGAATTCTACTTTTGCTGCTACTGAAGCTGGGCAATGAGACACAGGAGTGGGGAAATACCGGTAAGGCAGCCAGCTGGAGGAGTGGTTCTCAACCTCAGCTGCACATTGCAGTCTCCTAGGAAGTTTGAGGACTGCTGTCTGGTCTCATCCCGAGAGACTGATTTGATGTATGCTTGGGCACTGGACTTTTAAAAGCTCCCCAGGTGATGCAAATGATTGAGAATCAGATGACATATTGGATGCTTTCTTTCGGGGACCTGTTAATCTGTGCATTTCATATTAAAGCATACTGTGGGAAAAAGTGCATGCATGGCTGGCCAATCATGAGGATTAGAATAGTTCCAGAAATGATAACCTTTTGCAATATCAAATATAAATATTTTACCTAGTAGTTAGTAAAACGAATTTAACTTTTCTAGATGAAACAGTATGTTTAATTCTACTAGTCACCTTCAGGGTCCATTCAGTTCTCTTAAGATCTCCCTATACACCATGACCTCTACCTCTAGTAAAGACACTGAGATTTTCTTGATTTACGGTTAGCAAAAATCCCTCCAACTGAGGCTTTGCTTCCCCGCCCCCCCCCTTAGAAAAACATCACCTGGCAAATAGCCCAAACTGGGATGGTTTAAAGTTCTTACACAGTTCAATGTTCAGAATCTGTGTGGTCAATTTCTGGCTCAAACAGTTTATTACTTATAGTGTTGTACATTACATTTGTCTTTCATAAATGGAAGCCACAAAAGAACATTTCATTAATGACTAAAAATTTATCTCCAAGCACTTCCTGCAGAGAATGAGAAGTGGGATGGAATTTTGTAACACTGGGCTTTCTTTCGTCTTTTTCTTTTTTTGTTGCACTTAACATTTATGAGAGAATCTTCCCCAAGTGCGAAAACATGAGTGTTCTCATAAACCCTTATGGAGCAGCTGAATCCAACCAGGTCCCTACCAAACCTGGGACCTACAAAGACATTCCCTCTGGGGTCCGAAATGGAGGGAACCGAACGCAGGAGAAATGAAGAGCAGGGGTGGAGAGAAATAAAGTCTCTGAGATCTTTGTCCTAAAAGCGGGAGGTCTTGGATCCGGGGGAGCTTACCGGAGTTTCTTCCAGCGAGGTCAGGAAGGATAACTGAGCTATCAGTGGCCTCACACAGACGTTAGTGTATCAACCTCCAATCATGCTGGGGAAAACGGAGCAGGGGCAGGGTGTCTCCATGGGTCCCTTAACAGTCGCCATTTGTAAACTAAAAAAAAAAATTAACAAGGTTTATACTTTGGAAAAAGGACAGCTTTATTTCTCATAAAGGGTAGCAACCTGCTGGGCAGCCATTCCAACAAGGTGGAAAGCCAAGCCCTGGCCAGAAGCCAGGCACACCTGCTTCCTCCCTTGTCTTTGAAAAAAGACAAGGCCTAGACAACCAAGGTATAGTGCTATATCCTTATTTAGGCATTAGAACTTTATAATCTCCTTTCCTGTCTCAATCCCCTTTTCCCATCAACCTATCACTTGCTTGTTTCCTACCCAGAAAGGGACTGAGACAGTCCCTTTGTTCTTTCTTTTCAAATTTCTAGGTTAAAGTAATCCCCTATCCCTGTTCCTGTCACTGCAGCCTTCTTTATCTCTGCTACATCTGGCATTTTACTTTCTTCTGGGAATTCCCTGTCCACTTGGCTTCTTCCCCTTCCCCCGAACCTCCCTGTTTTCTATCTCATGTTGTCATTCTTTGTATTTACCTGTTATAAGAATTTAGAAAAAGTTTCTAAAGATTTCCCCCAGATCAGTTGTTAACATCTTTAGTTAACATTTAACTTCTGATTTTTCTGGGTGATCTCATTTACTATACCACCACACTGATTCCAGATGTGGACATTCTGGACAATTTTACTTTGTATCAAAACTTACCTTCTCCGAATTTCTCTGAGCATCTGTCCATGTGCTGAAATTAGAAACTTGAGTCATTCTCTATCTTCTTCCTTTAGCAACTGACCAATTTTTCCCATTCCAACTCTGTCTCACTTTTGTGTTCAGAACCTCAGAAAGGCCTGGATTGTTTTCTCTCCCTCTAAAATATAGGTCTGATCTAGTCCCTCTGTGTGTGTGCTTTAATTATAGCCTGCTGCTCCAAGATGGAAAGGAGCAGAGCAGCTGAATCACAGCTCCGGAAAAAAGGCTTGTGAACCTACAAGATCTGTAAGTCTTAGGCTTCTTTCCCCAGCTGTAGGAAGGAAATAGTATTTGTACTTTATTCGACTATTGGGAAGATTAAAAAATGTAAACATCAGGTACATAGTAACCACTCAATAATTGTTACTTTTTAGTCTGTGTTTTAAAGCTTCTTCTATAAGGTCCAAAGTTAAAGTATCAATTATTCAAATAAGTTCTATATTGGTCTAGTCAAAATTAATCTTTCCCTTACTTATACATTGGTAGCACTGTGTTTGGAGCTCTATTATAGAATTCAACACTACAATATATTTAATTGTTCATATACAGATCTCCTCTAACAGATTTGAGAGCAGGGATTAGGTTTTGTTTGCATCCTGTATAAGATCTTTAACACAAGAGGTTCAAATCTTGTGTTTATAATATAGCTCTTATGCTTTGGACTTTTTTCTTTAAAGGGTCGCAGAAAACTAGTCAGATTAATCTACCTAAAATAAGCTAAAATTTGAAAGCCCTAAATATTAACGAAAGTGAAATCTCAGTGTAATAATCTACTACTACCCTGAATATAAAAGACATTTTTGTTGAAGCATGTATTTTCATGCAAATAATCTCCTCTTTTAGATGGAACACAGATGAAATCTTTTAATAAATCATTTCTCTAAGTTAAACATATGGTTTTCATAAGTATAAACATTTTATTTCAGTTAAAGGTAGAGAGATACAAAATAAGAAGTTTTAATAATTATAAAGTAGAGACAATGAAAAATCCCACACTATTAATTTTTAGACCTTTAAAATCTTGAACATTGTTTTGATGGATTTTTATGTAAACCAGGAATTTACCCAACACTAGTATCTTGGCAATTCACTTTTTCACAATGCTATATAACCCAATAGCCATATATTAAACTCTCAATTTCTTCAAAGTGTTGTTACCACTAGAACACTGAGTTATAGAGCAATTTAAAAAAGACTATACAAACTAAATTGTAATGTCTTTAATGTCTCCGATTACTACTTTAAAAAATAAAAACTGCAATAGTGAACTTACCTCAGTTCTTTCTACATGATTCAATGGGAGATAGGTATCTAACCTCAACAACCTTCGTTCTTAAGCATGAGCATCTTCATGCTAATTAGAATTAGCTTTACTCTTTTATAACATCTGGGCAATAATAAACATTTAAAATCATAAATAATGCAAAATTAAAATTAGTTATGGTAACAATTCATTTGGTAATCAGTTGCCCAAGATGTATAGGGGAGTCAACACAGGCAGGTTTAACTTATAACATGCTCTGCAAAAAAAGGAAACATAATATAAATATTTCAGGATATCAAACTAGCCTAGCATTCCACTCAATGAATCTTTGCTGCTCATTTTGCCCATCTGGTCTTACTTCCTTTATCTTTTTATCAAAGGCATCTCACAGTGATGACTGAGTCTAAACTTTAATCATATGCGCTTTTTATACAAAATGGCCCCTAAATGCAAGCCAACTCTATATACACAAAACCATGTAAACAGTACTTGTAGGTGATTTAGATAATTCTGACTACATACAATTCTCACCAAATGCCCTGACAAGCACCAGATTCTACTGCAACATGTTTTAAGAGATTTAATTCCATTCTGAGTCTTGTGTTTACTGTCCTGAAGATCTGTGTCCTCAGTTAAAGAGTTGATGTTTGGTAAATATAAAATCCAGTAATTTCTGAGATTTCTCCATCACTGAAGTTGTGTTATCTTGATGGGGATAATACTATTAAAGTCCAAGAAAAAAGGTCCTTCTTGTTTAGGCAAAAAAGTACTGGGAATGATATTGAAGATCCCAGCAGGTATATTTTCTAATTCCAGGTAGCAAAACCCACACCTGTGTTCAGGGAAAATAAGAATAAGGTTTATAGAAGATAATGTCACAAAAAGTAAAATATAAATTAGATACAATCAAAATGCCAACATTACCTATAGTCACCACTAGATTTCCTTGGAAAGCCATGGGGACCAGGATCTCCCACCATAGAAACTGTTACGACCTCAAATCCAACACTATATTGCCTAGCATTTAAAATAAACAGAATTACTGTATTATTAAATAGTTTCAAATACATGATTTTAAATAATTGTCTAAAGACCAGATGTATTATTAAGTATATGTTTCTGAAGCTTCAGTAGTGAAAAACAGTACCCTAAAACACATGCATTCTATTTTTACTCTCAAACAAAATACCATTTATATATTTTAATTGAAAGCATAAAGATTAACATTGTATTAAAACTTACTTAAAAAAAAGACTTAACCAAAGGCTCCTCTGGGAATAATTTAAAAGATAAATATCGTCACTTAAATTTAAAAGATAAAATATTGTCATTGTAATAAGCAGACAAGCCCATGGAATAGGAAAGCAAGCCCTGAAATAAAATCTAAATTTACAGAAGTAGTTAGCATATGATAGACATGGCATTCTAAATCAGTAAGGAAGGAAGAATTCATTTAGATGGTGATGAGGTGACAAAAATTTTGAAAATACTGAATTGTATTACACACCAAATATAAAAATATATTCATGAACTAAAAAAATATGATGTAAAAAAAAAACCATAAAGGAAGAAGAAAATATGGTGAAAATTTATTTAATAATGGGGTGAAATTTCCTATCCATAGCAAAAAGAAGCCAGAAAAGACAGACTTGATTATTTAAAAATGAAATCTTTATCTTTGTGGGAAAAAAATGACAATTTAGGGAAAATATTTTCAAATATACAGAGGATTTAGTATCTTTAACTTATCCATGCTTACAGTTAAAAAAAAATTACAACAGAAAAATGGGCAAAAAACATGAATAGGTAATAAATACAAGAAAAAATATTGCCAGTAAACATTTTTACATGTTCAATTTATTTAGAAATCAAGTACAAACGAGCAATTAGATACCTATTTTACCTATCAAATCAGCTGAGGTTTTAAAAATGACCTTGTGGAAAAATAGCTTAATCATCTCTAAGTATCTAAAGGATTATTAATTGCTTTTGAATTAGTTTGTAAGGCAAGCAAAATTAGTTTGTAAGGTGAGCCTAACCTTATTTAGAAGATAGTACTATTTTTATTTGTATTCTCTGTATTTTTAAAACCTTTTAAATTATGAAATACAACACAAAGTAAATAAAACACATATATATCTTAACAAATAATCTGTAAACTGAATAAACACCTGGGTAACCACCACTCAGATCAAGCCCTCTCAGCACCACAGAAGTTGCTTGTATAGTCCTTTCTGATTGCAAATCCTGTCCTCCACAGAGCTAACTTTTATGGTAATCACTTTCTTGATTTGCTTTATAGTTTTTTACCCCTTAGTGTGCATCCTTAAACACCATTTGTTTAGTTTTGCCTGTTCTTGACTTCAAAGAAGTGGAATTATACAGTATGTATTCCATATGTATGGCTTTTGCTCAGCATTATTATTATTTTTTTAAGAGATGGGGTTTTGTTCTGTTGTCCAGGCTGGAATGCAGTGGCATGATCATAGCTCACTGTAGCCTCGAACTCCTGGGCTCAAACAATCCTCCGACCTCAGCCTCCCAAGTACCTGGGACTACAGGCATGTGCCACCATGCTTGGCTAATTTTTATTATTTTTTGTAAAGATGGGGTTCTTGCTATGTTGCCCAGGTTTGTCTCAAACTCTTGGCCTCAAGTCATCCTCCTGCCTTGGCCTCCCAAAGTGCCAGGATTACAGGTGTGAGCCTCTGCACCCAGCCTCAGCACTGTTTTTAAGACTCATCCATTGTGTTGTGTGTAGCTGTAATTTGTTCGTTTTCATTGTTACACTCTATTATATTATACTCTATTATATGACTGTATCATAATCTTAAATGTCATTGATAAACGCTTCTGACTATTACAATGGTTTGCTGGCCATTTGGATTGTCCCTTTTAGGACATGTTTTTATTTAAAAAAAAACTGGAGACTTTTTATTAATATTGCATATTTACAAATCCTCTGATGTGTTCTTTGTCTCAAGAAATCTTTTCTTCTGCTGAGGTTATTAAGACAACTCCTGTATTATCTTCTAGAAGCTGTATTGCTTTGTCTTTGACTTCCAGGTTTTTTTTGTTTGTTTGTTTGTTTGAGACAGAGTCTTGCTCTGTTGCCCAGGTTAGAGTGCCGTGGCGTCAGCCTAGCTCACAGCAACCTCAGACTCCTGGGCTCAAGCGATCCTTCTGCCTCAGCCTCCCAAGTAGCTGGGACTACAGGCATGCGCCACCATGCCCGGCTAATTTTTTTCACATGTATATATATTTTTAGTTGTCCAGATCATTTCTTTCTATTTTTTAGTAGAGATGGGCTCTCGCTCTTGCTGAGGCTGGTCTTGAACTCCTGACTTTGAGTGATCCACCCGCCTTGGCCTCCCAGAGTGCTAGGATTTAGGCGTGAGCCACCATTCCTGGCCCACTTCCAGGTTTTTAATATACCTGGAATTGATTTTTAGACTTGATGTGAAATAGGGGTCTAATTATTATTTTTTATACATGGATACTCAATTATTCCATATCATTTATTTAATACTGTCCTTTCCCCGTTCTTCTACAATGCCATCATTATAAATTAAACATCCATATATACTTAGGTCTATTTCTAAACTTTATTCTATTTCAATATGTTCATTTTTAATATAACATCATTAATTTAAGAAAGTTACTCATCACAAACCTTGGCCCTCGTAGCTCAACCAGTAATGGCCCAGTTTTTTCTACATGGAATTGGTAGATGGGATTATTTCTGTGAGTCTCTTGGAAATTTCCACATCCTCCAGCACTCTGACCACTCCACTTTCCGTTAATCTAATAGAACAATTTTTGCATTAACAAAAAATTTCAATCTCCAATTCCACTTCAAAGCAAAACTCCTTTCTACCTTAAAAACAAAACAAAAAACCCCCCAATTTTCCACTCTGTGGCTCCACCCCATCTTCCCATTCTTTATTTGCCATGGACAGTCAATGAAACTCACCAACTCTCCATTTCAGCCAGGCTGCTTTGCTACACTAAGCCCTATCTCCACCTCTCAGCCTTTAATCAAGTTGTTCTTACTAGAAATTCTCCTTAAAATCTTCCTCTACACATCTAACCCATTCTTGCATAGTCAGTCTCATTCTACTTTTAAGGTTCATCCACATGGCCTTCTCTAATAACCAAAGTCTGCACTAATCTTCTTTCTCTGAATTTGTTTCCTTCCACAGAATCACTTATCATTGCTCACTGAAGATCTTGTATTCCAACCCAGACTGGAGGCCACTTACATTTCCCCTGTATCCTTATCAATCTCAGGTTATTTCATGATACATTGTTAAATGTGAAGAATAAAATGAAAAGAAAAACGGGAAAAGAAATTCTAAAATTCTAAAGAATGCTGAGATAACAACGCAGAGAAAGAATTTTCTCACCCGTTTTGATAAAGTGTATGGTGAAGGAATCTTCGAAAAAGTAAAGCTGCATGCTGAATATACCTAGATTAAAGAAAAATGATTGTACTGATAAATGTTATACTTACAAAGACAGTGTGATTGAAGAATATATTGGAAGACTGAAAAATCTGTTGGCATATGTAAGTCATTATTCTATAGTCAGCCTGGTATCAAGTCAGGTTTAAAGAGCTGGAAACTGTGAAGCTAGGGATCTTGTTGTGGCTTTTTCAGTCACTAACTGTATGACTCAGGACAAATCGCAATCTTTCCATGCCTTGGCTTCTGCATCTGAAGAATGAAGGGGTGCCAGCACCTCCCAATGTCCCTTTCATCACTAAAAACCTATTCAAATTAAGCTTCTTTACTCATCTACAGCAAACAAATCCACGCAGAACAAAATTACAATGACTTTTCCACTCCACGAGAGCAGTATATTTCTAGGTGACTGATTCTCTTTTACTAAGTTCAAAGTCGTCTTTCAACAAGTAGGCTAAATTTTGCCTGCTGCAAAGTTAAATTTATTAGTCCAACATACCACATTACCTCAGGACTAAACTATTACTGTGAAAATTAAAATGTTCACTCAAAATAAAAACATTATTTTTCAAAGGCATTTTCTATAGGAAGCATCATAATAATTTAATATTAAACAATATATAAACACAAAAATAGAGAACAATGAATTTTCAGAAATAAACTTTTTCTTTTTTCTTTTTTGCTGGTAGCTGGACATGGGGAGGGGGGTTGACCAAGAAGCAGAAACAAACTTTTTCTCCAGATAATCCCACTTACAAAGCAGACTATATACTTTATCTTACTGTGTTTTGTCATTACACGTTGGTTTTACTTACCCGGACTGTATAATGAATTGTGTTCTGTTTTTCATATTGAGACACAACCAATGTAAAGGTATGGGTTCCAGGTGTGGTCAGCTTTATCTTAGTCAAATAATGAGGGCTGTTAATTCGAATCCCATCAATGTATGGAGGTGGGTCAGCTGCAAACAACAAGGTGGTTTATCAAAAGAGACTTTTCCTTTAGCTTCTGAAATTTTATGGTTGATGGTAGGAAAAATAATTAAATGGATGAACATCCCCTTAACTGATTGTGTCTTTAAAATATAATGATATTACTGATATCAGTGAATTTCAAATTAAGGTGAAAAATTTAAAAAGATACAAAATATATAAAAATAAGTCTGTGTTTCCCACCACTCAGAATTAACATTAAAAAAATCATACTAAGAGACTAGCTTTTCAAAAAATAAAGTCCCTTTTAACCATCCACCTTTATCTTATTTCCTTCCACTGATGGATTTGGTAGGCGTTTTTTTAGACTTTAATACACATACACCCCCTTCTCCTAAAAAAGAATGAATAATCATTTTCTGTGTATCTAAAAAAGGATATGTCTTGTATCTTTCATTTTTCAGTCAACATTTTTTGAAGATCTATGTTGTTCTATACAGTTTATTCCTTTTAACTGCCTCTATAATATTCTATCATATGAATGACATTTTATTTAACTATAAACCTGGAAGTATTCTGAAAAGGCAAAAATCACTATCCATAAAAGGGAGCATTGTTAAAAAAAAATCCAAGTTAAAAGAATAACAAATATACTTGAAATTGAAAAGCCATATAACATTTTAATGTTAGGAATATATTTGTGCTTTTTTAGTTTTATAGTGACCAACATATGAAAAATGGAAAATCTGGCTGGTTTAATTTGATATTTGTCACTACTGTGTACCATGCCCATCCAAGAACCTAGTGATACAAACTGGCTTGCCCTCAACACAGGGTGATGGGGAAGAAAGCCATAATTTCCTATGATTAAACAAAATATGACTTAATTTTGATCCCATCTTCCCCACCACTACCCATTTCTTTGCATAGCATTCTTTTTTTTTTTTTTTGAGACAGAGTCTCACTCTTTTGCCCAGGCTAGAGTGAGTGCCGTGGCATTACCCTAGCTCACAGAAACCTCAAACTCCTGGGCTCAAGCAATCCTTCTGCCTCAGCCTCCCGAGTAGCTGGGATTACAGGCATGTGCCACCATGGCCTGGCTAATTTTTTTTCTATATATTTTTAGTTGTCTGATTAATTTCTATTTTTAGTAGAGATGGGGTCTCGCTCTTGCTCAGGCTGGTTTTGAACTCCTGAGCTCAAACAATCCACCCACCTCGGCCTCCCAGAGTGCTAGGATTACAGGCGTGAGCCACCGTGCCCAGCCTGCATAGCATTCTTGAAAGAATTATCAATAATTGCTTCCTTAACTTATATCACAGTCTCTTTTTAAACCAATCCAACTGGGTTTCTAGCCCCACCTCTCCACCAAGCCTGTTCTTGTCAAGGTCAATAATAACTGTCAGGATGCTAAGTCCAACAGTCTCTTCTCTAATCGTATTTGACCTCTCAAAATAGCAATAGATGCAACTGTCCATTCTTTTGCTCTTGAAATCCTTTCTTTGCTTGGGTTATGTGAGACCTCACCCTATTTCATCAGGCGCTCTGTTCAAATTCTTTTGTGGTACCTTGTCCTCTGCTCAATCTCGAGCTGTCTGAGAGTCCAAGGGTCAGGTCCTAGGTGTTCATCTCTGTATCTAAAACTCTCTCCATAGGTGATTTATACAGTTCTGCCTTCATACGCCATCTACATGCTCCTGACTCCTCAATCTGTACCTCTAACCTTACCCTAGAACTCTACTAAAAAATCCAAGTGCCTAGTTGGCATCTTCACTTGGATATATCAAATAGATACCACAAATTTAGCAAACCAAAAATTAATTTTTGATTTTACTCCACAATAGATCTGCTCCCTCTCCTCTCCTCACTAATTCTTGCCCATTTCAGTAAACGTACACCTTTCTATTGCTTAAGTCTAAAAAATCAGAAGTCATCCTCGATTCCTCTTTGCCCCCCTACACTTCAACTCAATTTAGTCCTGACAATTCTACTGAAACCGAAATCTGTCCACTCCTCATCTCCACTCCTACTATCCCAAGTTCAAATCACCATCATTGCTCACATAAATAAAATTGCCTAATTGGTTTCTCTGTTTCCAGTTCTGCCCTCTCCAATATAAATTTAAAAGAACAAAAATGTTCTTTAAAAACATCAGATCATGTCATTTTCCTAATTAAGACCCACCAAAGACCCACTGAACCCTTTCCTGTGGCTTAGTAAGAACCTCATGTGATCTGACCCCTGCATACTTTTCCGACCTACCCAGGCAAACTGGCCTTTTCTCTGTTTCCAAAGCACACCAATCTTTTCTCACTGGAGGGTCCTGCACTCACTGTTCCCTCTGCTTGTAATGCTTCTCCCTCTGTTTCTTTAAGTGACTGACTCCTTTTTGTCATTCACAGTTCCTCTTTCCCCTTCTCCATGAGCACCCAATCAAAGCAACCAACTAGTCACTAACACGTGACCTTATTTTACTTCTTTACACACATGTATCACTACTTGATATGTTTCTTATCTATCTCCCCAACTAGAACATAAAGTCCATGAAAGCAGAGTCATGTTTGTTCACCACTGTTCCCTTTCGTCTTAAAACAGTTCCTATCACTAAGTGATAATTTTTTTTTCTTTTGATGTGAAAGCAAAGTGGTTTCAATATAATGTGTTAAATGCTTCAGAAGCCCTGTGGAGGGAAAGATTGATTTTGCCTGGCAGAATCTGGTAAGGTTATCAATAACATTTAGGCTAAATCTTAACCGTGTTTACTAAGCACAACAGGGTCTGTGGGTAAAGGGCAGGGAGAGTCTTAACAGAGGAAATGGTGTGAAAAGAGGGGCAACAAGGGCATGGTGTATTCAGGACTAGCAAGTAACTCAGTGAGGGTACTATGAAAAGCTGAGGCATGAAATAAAGGGGGCAGGTAGATGAAGCCCAGCATATAAAAAGCCTTATTATACCATGCTGAAGAGCTCAGATTTTATACAAAAGCCCATGAAAACCACAGAATATTTCTGAACATAGAAAAGACATGATTTAAGTTTCAGAAATAAAATTCTGACATCAATGTGCAAGAATGTGGAAATATCAAATTCCTGGAGTCTCTAACGATAAATCAAAACAAGGCAAAGAGCAGCATAAATACTCACCCATCTGTTTGAGTGGTTTCTATTAGTCTATCAACATAATTATTAATTTCTGCATGGCATCTACATAAAATTTGTCATTTTCCAACTTAATCATGTAAATAAAATTTTAATGTATGTTTGTTTTAATATTTTCTTGACTACTACACATACCTGGGTAATAAACTTTTTTCCCATCAGTCTTGTATACAACCATTGTGATAAATTCTCGATTATTTGCAAAATCATCCTAAAATCACAAAGAATCCAATGTGGTTAGAAAAGTGAGCTCAAAATGCTCTTTATTTAATGTTAAAAAAAAAAAATCCTCTAATTTTAAGACCATTTTTTCCCAGCTATTTATTGCTATAAAAACATTATTTTTCTGAATTAAATTGTCATTTCAATAGATGACCAAACTTTACAAAGTAATACATTAAATAAGATTCTGAAACTACTGAGATTATGGTTAGCCTTTACAAAATCAAGACTAACGACTTAATATTTCCAAATTCCCTTTGGGATAATTTAATATTAAGTTCTAAAGCATATATATTCAATCCCCAAACTCTTACTAAAAATCATAAACTCCTTCATATTTTTCTTTAGAGATTACTTTTGAATATTTTAAGTGTATGATCATAAAATATGAATTTTCCTGGAGGAAAATATTTATCTGAGAAAACACTATTTTCAGAGCACCTATATAAATTAAACAGGATGGTGATCAAATCACTTAAATGTTTCACAATGGTCTAACTGCATTAAAAAAAATTTCTGTACAGGATATCATTAGAATGTTATCAGTACCTTGTCTGTTATGTGTCTACTAAGCAAAACCCAAACTGCAGCGCCCCCTTGTGGACACTGAACCTCCAGTTTGTACTGGGGATTGTTGGCCAGGCTATAGGCATCTTTCACAGGTCCTTGCTTAGCATCCCAAGTACTAAAAGATAAAGTCAACAAAGAAGGAGATAGTAATTAAATTTCTCATAGAGCTAAAATATAACACTATTTTTAAAAGTGTTTTATTTCAACTACAATTAAGCTATCAGATTTTTTTGGTTTGGTTTTATTGTTCTTAAAATTTGTGGCATAACCAAGTAGAAAGAAAACTATTATAAGACAGTCACCTGTGGGTATGACAAAAAGAGGGAATATTAGTCTTCCTTAAAAGAAAAAAGTGGAGAACACTATAAAGCATGCTCTGAAATGCAAAAAGTTACCTGTGAATACATGTTGATTCTTTAAAAAGACCTGGATTCCAACTCAAATAAATCACATCATAATACTGGCAGAGATCATCCCAGGAAATCCAAAATATTCCTAAAAATTAATATTTTTGTTAATCTAAAAAAATACTTAATGACAAATGACTTTAATCAGTTAAATACATTTCATCTTATTTATTTCAAGACACATGGTATTAAAATTAAAAAGATTTATTTACCATTGTCTATTTTCTGAGCTGTCCGGGGATCAAAGTTTAAATACTTTTGCAACTCTGGAGTCCAGTTTTTTACATCATTTTCACTGTATCTTCCTTTCCAACGTAAATGACTCCAAGGATTTTTCAATTGGATAAATCGCAATCCCTGTTATCAAAAACATGAGAAAACATTAAGCTGCAAAAAAATGTTATTAGTTATACCATTCTCTTATTAGAGAGGATGAATTTTGAGTATTTATCAATTTTCTTCTCTTCAAATCAACATGAAATTAATACGTTAACACTTTTCACCAAGTCATATGTCTGATCAAAAACTGTAAATGGCTACCTACTCCATAGAGCTATGCTGTCCAACAGAGTTGTCACTAACCACATATAGTTAAATTAAAATTAAATAAAATTTAAGTCAGTTCCTTGGTCACGCTAGCCACATTCATTTTTAATTTTTTTTTACTTTTAACATGAACCACAGTTCAAGCGTTCAATGATCACGTGTAGCTAATAGCTAATGCACTGGACCGCACAGGTACAGAATGTTTCCATCATCACAGGAAGTTCTCTTAGTGCTGCCTTAGAGCATCAAATATTCCCTGCCTTTCAAAGCTCACTCTACTCTGGTCCCTCTTTATATTCCCAGTACTCACACCCCATATATCTTTGGCTCTAATCTAGGCTTTCATAATCCCGTAAAATCTGTATTCAATTTTGCTTCTAAAAGCATTTGCTCATACTGTTCCCTTTTCCTGGAAGGTCCTCTCTGATTCCTTTTAGCTATCCTTTCTCTCAGTACTGAAGAAAAGAGAAAGAACATAGACTTCAGTGTGAGAATAAAATGGGACCAAATTCCAGCTCTCTGGGTGGGTCATTTACCCTCTCTGAGCATATTTTTACTCATTGGTAAAATGAAGTTTATGATGTCTCCCTAGAAGACTGTTGTGAAGACTAAATAAAGTAACGTAAGTATCTAGCATTTAATAATTTCCTTCTCCTTTTAATTACTATCACTCCTCTAAACTTTACAATGCTAACTATCTGTGTTACATTAGTTTAAAACAAATAATATCCTATCTTACATTGTTTCCTACTTGTACAAATGTAGAAGTCTTATCTCCTCAATGAGACCATAGACTCCTTGAAATGGTGATACTCTCATCCTTTTTCAGATTTTCCAGTGAGTTTATGGAACAGAGTGTTAAGTTTATGGTAAATGCTCTATAAATACTGCATGTGTCTACAGAATTGGTTACCTTGATTCAGAAAAATGAAAGAACTGGTAAATTGAAAAAAATATTTGTCTTACTTCAACCAGTCAACTTAAGAAACTGTATACTTTCTGTAAGGATGTCATAAATCACCATTAGGGGACATTTAAAAAAAGACACATTCCCTTGCTGTTTTATATTTTAAATGGTGGCAAATTGTGGCCTGGAGTAGATGTGATTTCTGGACATAAGTAACAATCACTTCTCTCAAGCTATATTCCCTAGCAGCTTTATTAATACAATTTCTTTTCTCAATTTCTTCTACACCTCAGGTGTCTCACCACACTATCAGTCAACAGACATTTAGCTTTAATTCATTTCTTTTCATAAAATCTAGTTCTGCAAGAGCAGGAACTCTGCTGAATTTCAGGTCTCTACCATTTCCTAAAAGAGGAGCATAAAGGAGAGGCAATTGCTGGTAGCTTTTCAGAGACACATCCCAAGCATCAGTGACATTCAAGGACACTCAGACATGGCTGTAGGTTTGGTTTGGATAAGTAGAGAACCAGCAACTCAGAGGGCCCTAATAGGGGAAGAAATGCTAAAGAAATAATAATAATAAAAAAAATAACCTGGTCTATGCTGAAACATCCCATTTCTCAAGTTGTTTCCAAGTAGACAGCAACAGAAAAGCCTTGGATAGGTTCAGCTATCTCATGATAAGACTTGTCTAGAATGAAGTCAGCAGTCTAAACTGGAGATGTACTTCCACCGTAAACTATTTATGGAACAGCACCTCAAGGAGGAGACATAAAATAACCCAAAGGGAGGAACACTGAGACTAAAATGAAGATTTCAGAATACGCAAGCAGGTTAGAGGCAGTCAAAAAGGATAACACTTTTACATAAGTATTAATAAATATTAAGAAGAAAATCTTATTAAGAAAGTCACGAATGATGTAAGATTGGGTGTAATTTTAGTCTAAGATTAGGTCTATATGCAAAAAAGGTGTTAGAGATAAATGTTTAAATTGGATATGAAAATATTTTAAAATAGAAGTCAGAATTAAGTAAATGTCTCAAAATACAGAAGGCAAAAATAACATAACAATGATGATCCCAGGAAATTCCTTAAATAGATACCTAAAAACAGAATACTGATGAGAAAGGATCAAGATGGCCAACTAGACACAGGTAGCATGTGCCTCCTCCACAGAGGGGAACCAGGATAGTAAGCAGATTCTCACATTTTGAACAGATCATCTGGGAGAGAATACTAGGATTCACCAGGCAAGCAACAGGAAACATCAAAAAAGGGGATAAGGAGAAGGTTCAGGGCAACTTGCCAGGCCACGGACTGGCTAACAGCTAGGAGAAGCTCCTGGAGGCAGGCAAACAATAACACAGAAGCACCCAGGGCTCCACTCTCTGAGACAAGCTTTTATGGTCTTGGCTACAAGAGGACCTCCTGACCCACGCAGGTCTCAGGCCTAACATAGGGAGCTGCTTGGAGACTGCACAGACATTTCAGAAAGGGAACCCATGGAGAATCACACAGGCATCTGAGCTTAGAGTAGCTTGAGCCAGGGGCCATTCTGAGAGCCTTGATATTGGGCAACTGTGGGTACGCCTACAGCAACTGTGCAGCACCAGGGAGTGACAGAGGAGCTCAGGTGTCCCACAAAGCCCTGCAGAAGATTCCCAACACCCTGCTGTGGGCTGCTGTTGAGACTGAGATGTGAGCACACAGCATTTTCCACAGTTTCTCACCCATGCTGTTGCTGGGGTAGGATCCCAGCCTTTCTGGGTTGTAGGTCCAAAGTGCCATTTTGAGTTTGACCCTGGGCTATGGCCTGCCCTTGGGCAGCCCCTATATGGTTGGGAAAGGGCAGGGAAACCAGGCTTTCCAGTATACATCTGGGATGGTATCCACTATCCTGCAGTTGGCTGTTACAGGACTGAGTCTTGAGCAAACTGCACTCCCTACAGTTTCCTGTCAACACAGCCTGCCTGGGAAGGCCCTGCCCTTTCTGATCAGAGGCCCAGGGCGCCATTTTGGGAGTTTGAAGCCAGGCAGCGCCCTACCTTCGGCTGAATTTGGGCTGCAGCCCAGCCCAGCAGAGAGACAGGGAAGCCCAAGCTCTCTTACATATACCTAGGACAATTCCCACTGCCCTACTATGGGCTACTGTGGAAGTGAGTTGTAAGAGAAAGCACTTCACTCAGCATCTTGCTCATGCCATTTGCCTGGAAGGGGCCCACACTTGCTGGTCACAGGCCCAAGGTGCCAGCTTGGGAGTTTAAAGCTGGGTAGCGCTCCACCCTTGGACTGAGTTTGGGCTGATGCAGGGGCCCAAGCTCTCCTACTTACTCCTAGGAAAATTATCACAGCCCTGCTATGGGCTCCTGTGAGGCTGAGATGCAAGAGACAACACTTGCCAGTTTCTTGCCCATGCCACTTACTTGAAAGGGGCCTTGCTCTCTGTGATTGCAAACCTACACCTGCTGCCATTTTGAGAGTTTAACACTGGGCCACATCCCACCCTCGGGGCCAGTTCAAGGTAATGTGACTGCAGCTACCACTGGGCTGGGAAGAGAGAGAGGAGATCAAGCTCTCCTAAGCACACTTAGGACAATACTCTTGGCCCTGTTACAGGCAGCTGTGGGACTGGGGACTAGCCTGCCCAATCCACTGCAGCTACCAGTAACATCAACACAGATCACTTGGGTCCTAGTGAGTGGCTCAGCTCCACCACCACTACCGCCACCTCCCACATCACACCAGCTGCTTAGGGGCACACAACTGGCCCTCTGACTCAACTACTACCTTCTGAGCAAGCCATCTGAAGGCCCAAGAACTGGCCCCTCAGGACACACCAACACTGCTGCCAGCGTGAAGTTGTTCTGGCACCTAAAATTGGGCACACTTAGCCTACTGCTTCCATCACTGGGGCCCAGAGACTGGCTCAGCTGCTGTTCAAGTCCCCAGCAAAACTATACCACAGCCTCAACTAGTAACTGTTCCCTAAAACACCAAGGAAATCACGGATACTACTGACCCTGTGTATTGCCTAAGAAATCAAAACTGTCACTACTGTAGGTACCCAAAATCAAAGCCAAAGTGTCCTACTCAACCAACAACATATATACATCTTCAGGAAAAAAATTCTTCCTTTCAAAAGCAATTTCAAAAAATTGGAACAAGTAACTGCTACATTAGATATGCAGGTATGAACACAAAGACACAGGGAACATAAAAAAGCAAGGATATATGACACCACAAAAGGACCACAGCAGAGGCTGGGTGTGGTGGCTGAC